TCTGCTTGGTTTGAAAGGGGGATGATGGAAGCTTACGCTTATATAAAACCACGCCCCACACACTCCAGACAAATAATTTTCACGAATGATTACAACACAAGACATTGAACATTCAACACAACACAACACAACACAAACACACAGCCCAATACTCACCAACCCCACACCCCTCTCCTACTATCACAATTACATAAAATGTATCATATCAATAAATTCAGCTTCACTACACAAAAGCTACCACCCATAAAAAATGTGGCAAGCTAAGTTACAAAATCCTGTCAAAAGTAGCTTGCTATAGAAGCTACTTTCAATTAAACAAACTGCATGCATTTTTTGTGATAAATACAACTGTCAGTCAGATAAAGGTTAACATTTAGATATTTATTGAACAATAGCCCAAAACACCAACAACAAAAGACAAGAAGGCCTTTTGCAATTGTAAATAAAATAAATTGAGAAGTTATACAGTAGCAATAAGCCATTACAAATTAACATGTATTTCATTAGAACTGTTTTTTAACTGTTGTTCATAACAAAAGCCCAATATACACGTAACAAATGTGAATCAGAGCCAATTAATGGCTCTGTTTAAGCAAGCATGTGTGCGTGTGCGCATGTGTGTGTGTGTGTGTGTGTGTGCATGTGTGTGCGCCGTCACCAAGGCATGTACATTAGCATTCTGTCTTCCTAATTTGTTTGTTTTGGCTGCGGTGCTTTGGAGGACGCTACCGCGCTTCTTTCTCAAAAAAATAGCTTAGCTACAGAAAAGTTACTTGGTTTTGTGACGCTAGCGTCAAGCTACTGAAACATGTAGTTAAGCTAGTAGCAATGCTACTGCCCATCACTGTTTTTAATCTTACCTCCATATTGGAAAACAAAATCGAGTCCCATCTCTAACAGATCTAAACAGTCTCACAGACAAGTCTTCAGATTTCTCTGACCCAGAAACTGATGTATGCTTTTGTTTCCCACTGTGCTGCAGTGATCCGTACTTTGAGGTTGTCCCAGTGGGCAAGTGCAACATCGGCCCATTCTGGAACCCTGCATATTTATGAACCAGAAAACGTGATCTCATGACCCTGACCCACTGCCACAGTTGAGTGAGTAAAATGTAAAATGTATGATGACGACCACAGAGATGACTAACCCAAAAGTGTCTCTTTACCTTATCTGATCTGCCTGAGAGCAAACTATATATACACCACACTTTCATTGGAGACTAACAAGCTACTGTAGGTGCACTTTCTGGCGTTTTAAGCAATAAAGTCCAAAGTTATTTAGGGCAGAGCACTTTTGCACACCCTATTTTTTTCTTTCTCATCTTTGTGTCATTCTACAATATTAATTCTGAAAACATTAAAGGTTGTTGTAGTGTGAGACAGGCTAATGAATTAAACATAAATGATTGTGACTGAGATCTCACATGCTAATGCTTCAAGTGTCATATGATGCAGTCTGAGAACCGCAGTTACACACTATAACATTGAAATAGTTGAAAACTAAAGATGAAAAGTGAATCCGTCATGTAGTACATATAATTAGTTACATAAGAAAACATATGTAGCAGCAGTGTTGCATGCTTGTCTTTTAGTTCACATGATTTCAGAGTTGATTTGACTTGGCTCTTCTATAGCATAATGCTCCCTGAGGACAGAGCCTTCTCATCTGAGTCTAGACTGGATGCTCTTGAAAGAGAAGCTGTAGCTGTGTTTGTTGCATATAGAATTTGAAAAAACATAATCGCCTCAGGCCACACCGAGCTGAGCCTCACTTATGATCAGTGAAGTGCTCACATTAAACCAACAACTCACTTTGCATTGCACAAATGAAGCACTATGATATGTTGTTGCGACGATCTCGTATGGTTTCTGTCTAAAGCCTGAGGTAACGTACTGTATACTGTACATGCTGACATTATAGCTCAAAGCCTTATGTTTAGGTGCAACAACAGATGTTTCAGAGCTACATCATTACTTTCTTTCTGTGTGTCTGCCTATATACACGTTTACTGTTGGCGTCGCAAGTATTCACAGATAGCACAGCTTTATTGTCACAATGTTCACTTTGACAAAAGTGAGACACAAAAGTGAGTCTTAAGAATACTTGAGAATACTTGATCTTCAAAAGTCAAGATCATAGTCTTAAAAAGCCAGTCTATCTAAAATGTGGATTATTATTGTCGTTTTCTGGCTGGCATGCAGGCTGTTAGGACCTTCTAATGGCAGAAAACTAAAAGGCTTTCTCTTGCATGAATATATTATATTGTTCAGTCTATGATTGTAATATAAGAATAGGGTATTAGTTGCTTACAGTGCAAAAGAAATGCTCAGCCCAAAAAGCATTTCCCCCATATGAATAAATGCTCATTTTCAGTTTTTTGTTATTATCTGTGTGACCATGCGCTTATTTTGTATTTTTTATAAACTCACACAAAATACAGTACAGACCAATAGTTTGGACACACTTTCTTATTCAACGAGTTTCCATCTGTTCATGACTATTGACTGTAGATTCACACCCAGGCTGTGTAAGGGCTATCTGACCAATAAGGACAGTGGTGGGTGCTGGGCCAGACGACCTGGCCTCCACAGTCACCGGACCTGAACCCAATCCAGATGGTTTTGGGGTGAGCTGGACCACAGAGTGAAGGTGAAAGGGCCAATAAGTGCAAGCATCTCTGGGAACTCCTTCAAGACTGTTGGAAGACCATTTCAGGTCTCCAAGAGAATGCCAAGAGTGTGCGAAGCAGTAATCAGAGCAAAAGGTGCTACTTTGAAGAACCGAGACTATAAGACATATTTTCAGTTGTTTCATACTTTTTATTTTTAGTACGTACATAATTCCACATGAGTTAATTCATAGTTTTGATGCCTTCAGTGTGAATCTACAATTTTCATAATCATGAAAAAAAAAAAAACTCTTTGTCCAAACTTTTGGTCTATACTGTATATACTAATGCCTGAGCTGAAGGATCAGATCAGTGATTTAGCAAGAAACAGGACGGTCTGGCTAACTACTGCTCAATGACCATCAGGCAAATTCTGCAAGAGAAGAGCTTTACCAACAAAACTAGTCTTCAAAGGCCTTGTCTCCTTCAACATCACAGTTTAGACTTTGCAATACTGCACCAAACATGGAGTTTTGAAACGTGGAGCATCAGTACAACATTACTGGTATGACAACAAACTCTCACATGAGTTGTTGTTTTGGAGGCATCATAATCTGGGGCGCCTTTGAGGGCAATGGAGATTCTTGTTGTTTGTGATGTCATCGCTAGAATGTGCTACTGAGTTATTGCTTGCTCTTTATTTGCCTCCCAATTCTTGTTTTGTATTTTGAGTTTTCATCCGGTTTTGTTCCTTATTCATCATCTACTATTTATTGGCTTAAAATGTAGTTTTGGACAACAAGGCCAAGTGAGCTGTTGATTCATTGTCTGGTGAAATGTACTCTAAACAAGACTAAGATAGAAGCTCAAACTGAGTCATGAGAGGCCACTTAAAGAGACTTTCTTAGGAGTCTTTTCCCTATTTTGCTAAAGTAAGAAAACTAACACAGAGTTCCAGTGTTTTGCCTAGGCTGTGCTGGGACCCTGGGACCATGTTAACTTTCAGTTTGACAGCTGGGTGAAGGCAAAATGAACCTGCCTTTTCCTCATACACATGCCAAAATACTTTTAGAAAGTTGCAAACATCATCTCTTCTGTCAGATGGACTCAGAGCTCAGACACACAAACCACCCTGACCTCCAGGCGGTCAATTAGAGCTGCATGATCAAATATGTCAAATGCTACATGAGGTCTGTAGACAAAGCATGAGCCATCTCCGGCGCCAGTTTAGACCCTAGGCTCCTCCCTCTATGCTTTGGCCAATACCATGAGCTGTAGAAGACCGCAATGAATCAAGCCAACCTTTAGCAGAGCGAAGATGTGTCACATATAAGATACATTTAAAGATGTTATACCCGATTTTTTTTAATGAACTCATAAAAATGCTTATTACTACATATGAGTTGTATTATAATTCGTAATTTAATTGAAAACTTGAGCTCATTGATTCAGCTGTGTATGAATTCAGGCCGTAAAAAGTGCTGAGTAGAGACTTGAGCATGACGCTCGCTATCCTCCAATCACAGAACGAGGCTGCGTCCTCTGGCCTCTACAGCGCTGCTAAAAACAGTAGCATGTTAACAGAATTGGCTATAACTCTTCTTGCTGTAACTGTATACACAGCAAAAGACACAACAGTGAGGAAGAGAAAAGGGAACTAAATCGAAAAAATGATCAAAGAAGAAATCAAGACAGACTTGTCTTTGGGAGAGACCTGCGGGACCGCCTCGGACTATCTATGCTCAGACTACATTCGGACGCAGAACGCAGAACTAGCGGTAATCTTTCAGTTATATATTTTGTTAGCAGTGCGTTGCTTTTGTACCATTTACTCAGTGATTGTTGTACCGATTAAGTTGCGCTAATCTTAGCATCAGATCGCAAATACAACTGTGGCTCTGTGGGATGAGAGCGTAGGGGAAATGAGAAGCCTCTGGGCGAGTTGGGGGGCGGTGCTAAACATTCAAACCTTGCAGAAACGGGTATAGCTCCTTTAAAGGAGTGGATTTGAGTAGATACAGAGGGGTTCTGAAAAACCATTGTTCAGACAGAATGATGGTAAGAAGATGAGAAGGAACCTTCCTCATGTTCCTATTACTAATAGTAGTAGTAGTAGTAGTCAATCATCTCAAAGGATGTTGCAGAGTTTTTGATTTACCAACAGATTATATGTTTGAAAAGCTTCAATAATCCTTTTTCTCCAGACTCGATATAATTTATTTTAGTGTCATTGTATAGATAAATACACAAAATTTCATGCATATAACTTTACTGCTCCTGTACTTATACCCTCTGATAGCATTTGTTAATGACTATTCTGGGTTTATGTGGTGTTACATGAGTCACTCTAGTTATTGTTGATTTGTGGTGTAGGATGACAGAAGGTACTCACCATGTCTGTATCCGACACTGGGCCGAAGCTCGTCACATAGATGTTTGTTCTCACTTCCGTCACCGTCTCTGAGGAGACAGCGAAAAGCACAATGCTCACATCAAACACAGATCTGTGCCGTTGCTCTTTGTTAAGCTGATTGTTTGCTCCAGTCTGCCTGTCGGCATTTCTGTAAGCGGCTTCTCCCAAAAACCTTTCTCAAACTGAGAAATGTGTATCCTCTTGAACTGTTTAACATCTGTGTGTCAGTGATGTTTGTGTTAGCAAACACCAAAGACAGTTTCTTTCTTTTATTCCAAAACCAGATCTGATATTTACTCTACTTTGAAAACAATTTGTACTGACTCGTTATGTCCACTTCAACAACAAGGAAAGCTTTTTGACCCAAAAAAAGATTCACAGTCTGCTCCAAAAACATTTAGCAGCCCCAGGAGACAAAACAACAGCTCAGCACAGACTATCCAGGTCTCCCATGAGCTTCATATTACAGAATAATGAGCCACTTTTTACTATTTATGTGTTCCACTGTTACCATTTAATTTGGCACATTTATGTAAGAATATAACATATCAATTTGGCTGTGGTGTTATCTGGACAAATGTATTTATATCTATGAGCAGAGTCACTTCATAATTGTTTTCTAACAAGTTAGTTTATACCATAGTTGACCATAAAGAATTTGTCAGATAGTCAAATATATCCTTGCTTATTTTGAAAATGGCTTTTTAAAAGCACTAAGTAGGGCATAATTGTAACAGATCCGATGGAGACTAGGCTGACTCATCTCCTCTGGGCATATGTTGAAAACAGCCCATTGGTCCAGTGCTGAAACAAATCGCTACTCCCAGTGGAGCCAGATCAGGAGAGTGATGAGGTCTTTCTCCAAAAGTGAACAGATCCTATAGTCTCTTACTGTGTCTCAGATCTAAGGGACCACCCACAGGTGAAGTTTCTAGTTCTCTGGAAAGGGCCCCTTTGAGAGGAGTTGCACCTCCACATTCATCATTCCAGTGGCACAAAATAGTTCCAACAAATAATGTGAATATCACAACACCCAGTCAGCACTCTGCATGGCGGCCTAGTGGGGAATTGAATGAAAATACCATTTTATAATAATTTCAACAGCGCAGTTAGATGTAGCTGGAAATAGCATGAATTCATGTTGAGGGATTTCTATTTTTGTTAGGTCCCATGGTATAATAAATGTTGCAAAATGAATCATGTTCACTAATTACTCAAACACAGTTTTGCAAAATAATGATTCATCACATAGCATAACTACAGCCAAACTAATTGATGACATTGTTTAAACCTCACAGTTGTTGCTATTAATACAAGACAATGTAATGAGCGTGGGTCCTCGAACAGCTCTGGTCATCCAGCTTGGAGGCTGGAGCCTTGCGGCCGGAGCAGCAGAGCAGAAATGACCATTCCAGCTGGCTGCTCGAGAAATGGCAAATCCGGCCAAAGCATGTGGACCCAGTGTGAGCAGTTAGCAGGTCTGTAGGGAGGCAATATTTGGATGACAAGACATCAATTAGGAATCTCTCTGCTGACATACGTTTGTGGTTGTATGTCATTTGGGTTTGAACAAAGACTTCACCACAGGGAAATATTTTCCATAAACAAGTCAGGTTGTATTGTTTATGTAATGTTAAAACCCTCTCTCATTCCTTTAGGAACCTAATGTTTAGGATTGTTGTTCATGACGCCAACAAGTGTTAGCTAATCTTACTGAGCTACATAAGAGAAAGTGAAGTTAGTTGTTACTTACTGAAAAATCGATGGGTTTTTACATTTAGATTGCATTCCTAATAAATATTCTGGACATGCCTTTTTCACTGCTGATTGTTTGGGTTCTTGATGTAAACTGCCATATGCTATGTAAGCACTCCATATGTGATCTCTATGTGAGTTTTCTCTTAATTTGAGAGGATTTTCCATGACATTGAAGTGGGCTGTAAGCCAGTAACCTACCTCCAAGTCCGGGACGTAGTCTGTTGTCATATCCATCCAACAGCCTGTCGAGAATGCGAGTGAAAATGGTGATGTTGTCTTTGCTGTCATCCGGTATTGGCTCTTTGTGTCCGACCACAGCCCTAAGGAACAACACCATATCAAGATGGTTCGGATGACACAATCAGAAAGACATCAAGAAAGTGTCCAATTTGACATCCCCCCCCCAGCAGTTTCTGTTCGGATTCAGAATGTTATCAGCCTCTCATTATTCATTTCCATGGCTCATAGTCTCGTCACAACAATAGTGTTAGTGGGAGATGAAAGGCCACTATACAGAAGGTGGAACGCTGCTGAGTTAATGAGTTGTATCTTTAATTAGACTCAAATCCCCAGAGGAGCTGACCAATAATACTCTGCAAAATCCGCATCTACAAGCCGTCATGCCCTGATCAACGGGCTCCAGCTCACTTCAGGCCTCATCTTAAGCACAGAGCTTTAAGGACTTTAGAGGTTCAAGACAATCCCAAATTTTCTCTCAACATTGCTCAAACAGAAGCTGTGCAACAGTTAATCTGGCTTTGTTTCCTCTCTTCAAGGGCTTTGTCTGTCATAATAACCACTCCGCTCCAGTGTCCATTGCAGCATTGACCCTATGTACAGTATTACAGCAGCACTTACAGGGTCAAGGTCGCAGTGAAATATGACTGTGAGTTCAATAATGATCATTTCTAGGTGTTTTAAATGAGACTGCAGCACTCACAGAGGGACGTGTTTGGCAAATTGCTTTGGCTTGGCTAAGTGGCCATTATGTGGGCATACAGTATGTGGGCATAAATACATAACAATTAAGCTTCAGGGCCTCTTCATGTTTCGGTGAGTTTTTCCTTGCACAACAGTCCAGAACATTGTGTCTATTTTGGGAATATAAAAAATAGCCATTGGACAGATTGCAGTATTACAGACTTGGCCTTCTAACACTACTTCACTTTGAACTTCATATATACAGTACTATGGAGAATGCTACTTCCTTACGGCAGAGGTAGAATATTGCAAACTGTGTGCCTTCTCCTCAGACACTATATCTTTAAGTTTAGGGTCACAATTTTCAGCATGCTGAGAGAAGCACTGCCTATAAAATTGCTGTCGAGGTAAGCATTATGTGGGAAATGTAAGATGCATCCAAAAAGCAGATAAAAACAAGTCCTCTGAATATTTTAAATCGACTACGTCCCTAACTTCTTGTTTGAGCAGCTCCAACGTCGCAAAAGGAATGACCAAACTTTGTGCCAGGTAATATCTCACTTAGCATAAATAATATATCAGACAAAAAGCCTCTGTGGCCTCTCCGACGGCACACAGGAAATTAAAACATTAATGAGTAACCTTTCATACCCAAGAAGTTTGCTCCATACAAAAACAAAGCCCTGCATACCTTTCAGCATGTTTTATAGTCATGGTAAACCCAGCAAGGCAAGTTAATTTGTGTAGCACAGTTCATACACAAGGCAACTTAAAAGAGCTTGACTCAACAAGAACAAGAAACAATCACACAAGGCATTACATTTATAAATTGTTACAGCAAATCAAAGAAATAGTGAAAATAAAATCATTCAGTCGTATGCAGATAAACTGTTTATAACCTGAATTTGTACATTGTCAAAGTAGAAGCCTTTCTCGCATTTTTAAAAAGACAGCAGCATGAATCTGAAACGCTGCCTCCCCATGTTTAGTTCTGACTCTAGGCACCAACAGGAGGCCAGTCCCTGTGCTCCTCAGAGTCAGAGTTGGTCATATGGGACTAACGTGTCTCAGATGTACTTTGGTGTGAGGTGATGGAGAGACTTTTTCACAAGCAGAGCTGCTTTAGTCAATTCTCTGAGTCACAGGAAGCCAGTGCAGAGACCTGATAACTGGACTAATTTGATCGTACTTCCTGGTTCTAGTCAGGGAGACCAGTCAATCAGCCGTTACAGTAGTCCAACCTACTGGAAACAAATGAATGTATAAACTTCATCTAGTCTTGCCATGAGGATTGTATCTAATGTCCACTATAGACGTGCTTCAAATCTTCTGTTCATAGAATAAGAAGTTAAACTGGAGGACAATATTAACGATTAATGAAAAGAGTGTGAAGGTAAAGGTAAATGTGCACTTTATTTATCTCTGTTTGGAAATTCATTCTCTGCATTTGACCCATCCTGATGCCACTAAGGCTTCTGTCGGGAGCAGTGGTCGCCGTAGTAACGACGCCCGGGAACCCACCACCAGATGTTGATGCTCGGCTTGATCAGGACTAGCGCAGCTGGAGGATTTTACCTACCGTACATGTTTTTAGTGGGCATGAGGTGTGGGCAAAAAGTATTTGGGTCTGTACCACTTCTGAGTGCGTGCGTGTGCGGGTGTGTTTGTGTGTGTGTGCACGCTTTGTGTTATGTTGTATGAGTGAGAAGGGCTGGAACCAAAAACCTGCTTCGTCCAACCCCTTTCCCACCTGTCTATTACAACCATTACTATAGTCCAAAAGTTTGAAGTAAAAAAAATATACTACTAATACTACCACTACTACTACTACTACTACTACTACTACTACTACTACTACTACTACGACAACAACCTATCAGACAGAAGGTTTTACTGCATGAAAATAAATTGTATTTATTAGAAACCTGGAAGGCATGAGATGAAAGGTGGTAGCATGTGCAAGGCTGACGTTTGACAAAGATTAGTGCTGTAATGCGTCCCCCGTTCCAGATGCAGGTGTTAAAATATTTACATGTGTCATACATTTCTCGCTATAAATAATGTTCCTATTTAATAATGCGTAGGAAAGCAATGTGTGATTGTACTATACTGTGTCACTGCAAAGTTGTAGTTTGTTGGTTAAAAGTGAATATTTGATCATGAGAGTTCCAATATTATATGCTGTGTGAACTTCCTTTCAAAGATGAGGCAAAGAGAGTATAGCGTGGTCCACACAAGACCGTTTTTTTATTATCTGTTTATTTATTCAAGCCGCAGCAATATCACATTCTTACAACAGTCTTTGCACGGCTTGTGTCGTGAGGCCCCTCAAAGCGGCTTCTCATTTTGCGTGGTGAACAGTTTCAAGCTCTCCATATTCTCTTGTTTATTTACTGCTCTTGTGCTTTTGTTTAAAAACTGCTCAACTTTTAGAATCGTCTGATGGACTGTCTGAGATTCTACTTCTAGCTGTTTGAGTGTCAGTGGCGACATCTTACAGGTAACAGGCGCCTGGGTTCTACTGATGTTGATCATAACCAATTGATAAAGAAATCTTTTTTATTATCTCTTTCCTTTAATATTCCAGTGTTGTCAGAGCACCAAAAGCAATATTATTTGGTATGGTTGTTATGAATGTATTTCAGTATGGCTCTTCATTGTGCATCAAAACCTAACCTAACTTTTTTTCTTCATAAATACAGTTGTTTGTCCCAATAAACTGTTAATGCTGATATTTAACCACAGTTGAACCTGGACAAAATCTCACACAACAAACAGACATAGTTAGGCAATCTTTTATTTGTTACCCATGTACAAGGAGAAATGTCTCTCAGGACAGGTCTCAAGCCTTCCCGTCTGCAAGGTCCTTTTGATAGTACAAGACACAGCCAAATATGCAGATACCAAAGGAAGAACCAAACAGAACATAAGACACTCCGTGTTAGCGTATACAAAGCCTGCTTCCTCCTGGTGTTTAACATACGAGCCCCCCAGACGTCCTGGAGCCAAAGCAAATTACAATACAACCTTTCAGTATACATAATAGGAATTATTAAAATGATAACTTAAACAACATTCCAATTATAGTAACCTTTCGTCAAAATATCAGACCATGTCTTTTACAGACTGGGAGCTAATTGGTCGAGTGAAGGTGATCCTCTCTTTTTCTCTGGAAAAACTGATCTGTAACAAGCCAAATTAACATTTGTGTGATGAACTAAAGATGGCACTAGACTTGTATTTTTAACTGGTTATTTTCTGTGGCGACAGTGGCTCAGTTGGTAGAGCATTGGCCTTTGAGCCTGAAGGTTGTGGGTTTGAGCCCTGCACCATGACACCTACTTCACGACTCCCACTGATGTCTGCTGTTGTGTCCTTGGGCAAGAGACTTAACCCCGCTCTGCCTGGAGCCCCAACTGAAAGATCTCAGCTCCTGTGGACTCACCACCTGCAGGAGGATCAGTGAGGGGCTGGTGCTATGTGTACTGGGTGCAACTCTGACTGCCACTCCCCCGACCCAGAAATGGATTAAGGGGGAAAAAATGGATGGATGGATATTTTCTGTGGTTTAAAAGTTAGGTACTGCAGCATGATTAAGCAAAGCTATTATGATTGGTCTGGCATTGGAGGCAGTTATTGGGTTGAACGACGAGGGTTTTACAGACTGCTCCTCCTGGCTGCTCAGGATAGTGGACAGGGCACTCGCTGAGAAAGTGGACTGGCTTTGATCCAGGGTTAGTGCAGTGAACTAGTGTGACAGGTGCAGTGGGCTGTGGGAGAGATGTAGGGGGGTCTCGGGGGGCACACAGGTGCTCTGGCCAGCAGGCTGAGCTGTGGACTGGGTGGGCTGGCCAGAGGCATGTGGCCATTAATGAGAGCATGTTGTGTCAGTGAGAGGAGAAGGTGCTGCACAATGGGAAGTGGTGATGAAAACAGATGTTGACTTGAGGAGTAATTATACATTAAGCCTTCGCTGCACTGGGACTGAACAGATCTGCATCTTTCATGTAATCTGTTCTATTCACTGTGGTGGGGCTCAATCTTTAATTTCTGTCTTGTGAAACTTTAATGGAGTTGCTCATGGAAACATTTTTGTCACACATTTATGATGCAAGTGCCATGCCTGTAAACCATGTGATTGCCCATGGGAAGTCTTCCTATCAGACTATCACGTCACAATCTGTCTAATTATACTGACCTGAGCCATCTTGAAAACATCAACATGTTGTTGTACACATTCAAATTAGGAGAATTTTGAAGTATTTTCCTTTTTACCGAGGCGACATCACTGGAATGTTCAATTATTCTATGAAAAGGGAAAGACATAATTGCTACAGATATTCTTCTACTGTACTGTCCTGTACTGTGCTACTTTTGACCACTACACTTCTCACATTAG